GGCATCTTCTGTTTTGTACTTCTTTTCCAATGACTCCCATAGTAATTTAGCTGTTTTGATGGAACAGTATACGTTGTATAGTGTGTTGTCAAGGCAATTGAGGATGTAATTTCTGCACAAGAAGTCACTATGATTCCAAGCATCAAATGCTGCTCGTTTTTGAGAATCTGTTTCCTTCTCCTCAACAGTTGGAGCATCCTCTTTCAAGATTTTGATCAGATTCAGAGTCGTGAGATAGAACAACATTTTCTGTTGCCATCTTTAAAATCCACTTCCGTGAATTTTTCCGGTTTCTCCCCGTGAGCATTGTTAGAGGGTACGACAGACGTACTAAGGGGTACAACAGACCTATTACTACTTGCCATTATCGTTTTAAGATTGTTGAAAAATAATAGCAAATAATAGTGTTACCGTAATTTATATTTGGGCAGAGTAACGACGTTTGGATGGTTTTGAACGGTCGAGGCAAGAGTTTGACTCTTTCTCCTTAAAACGATAATGCCCCACACTAGTACTAACGATATTACAGCACTCGTTTTCTAAGATACAACGATCTCATCTTGCAATAGTAGTACTCCAAATTACAAGACCCGACGAACCCGTAAAGTTTAGATCTCTCCACACACACTAGATGACTGAAATGCACGAAAACTAATTTTCGAGGACTGAACTATAAAACAGAAATTATGCAAGGACAAAGGGATAATTTCGGGAGAGTAGAAAATCAATTCTGATTTTTGGAATGAATAAAAACGGGGGTATGGGGGCCTATTTATAGATGTTAAAAGGTTGTGTCCTAACAGACACAACCGTCGAAAAGTTGTGTCCAAAAGACACAAACTATTTGGACAGTCAACCGCCACTTTGGACAGTCAACGCCACTTTGACAGTCAACCGGGTAAATTCTAGAAGTATCGTATCACGTGTCACACACAAAAAATTCGGGGAAGGAAAAAAATTAATAACATAAAATATATTATTATTATTATTATTATTATAATGAAATAATATAATTAAATGTTATTTTACCAAAAAATATATATCAACTTGGCCCAAGCCCACGATCCACGACCCGTGCCATGCCGAGCTGGCCAGTCGGACGCACAGCGGCGGCGGCGCGCGCGTGTGGGCTTTGGCTTAACCTACTAGCACGTAGGTTCTCTCCCCCTCAAAGACTATTGGTACCCCTTGGGGCCCAAACCCAAGTCCCAAACTTGAGCTATATAAGGTGGTTTATATTCTTCTAATTTTCCTATGTGGGATTGATATTTTTCAATTTCCCACCTATTTTATTTCAATATCAAGTGGGCATCATTTGGCCTTAATTTCTCATTCACCCTAAATTGGTTTTGAGAAAATAAATATACCATATTAATCTACTCATGGAATATAACACATTTGGCCAAAGAAATCTTATTTCCGATTAACGGGACCCACTAAATTTATTGGTCAAAAGTTGGTCAAACCAACTTATTAAAACCAATTTTTCCAACAGCTACTTCACTTGACAGAGTTGTCAACATTAGTTTGCTACCAATTGATTTTGTGGAAAAATTCCACGCAAGAGATTCCAATCGTTACGAGAATTTCGAACACGTTTAGTTCTTGATATAAAGAAAAGAGTTCATGATGTACAACAAAAGCTAGAGTTGTGGCAAGTTGTATTAAAAGATCTAGATGGGAAAAAAGGAAGGTGTCAAGTGTACAATACCTAGAAAGGGAAACCAGAGACTTAGTTACTAGACTTCAGAATGTCCTTTAAACTTATTTCATCAAGGTCCAATGCAGAAGAGGCAGAAGCATAATTGAAAATTTCATTAATGATTTCCAAACCTTCCGGAGGGTCGATTTAGATGTTAAATAAATTAATATCCAGATAATGATGATCATTGCCCGTTTCTCGATATTAACACTCATTAAGACAATAGGAGAAATGAATCTTGGATCTGAGACCCAACAAAAGTTGAGGAAAAGCTTCTCTGACTCTCTAGAAACCCATATTGTTAGGATGGATCACAAACTTGAAACTCTAAATTCTGCTCTGCTTGATGGCAAAGACACAGTTATTTACGTATATGGCAGGGGTGGCATAGGGAATACTGCACTTGCCCACAAGTTATACAAAGATCTGGGTCTCCTTCAAGATGTAATCAGTCGTAAGTAAGGTTTCACAGTTTTGACCCGTATGAATCAAATTTTGTCCTCTTAGGCTTCACTTAAATAGGCTGGCCATATGGATGCTAATTATTTTAAATTTTTGGGTGACTGCAAAATCAAATTTTTTTTTTTTTTTTTTTTTTTTTTTTTTTTTCTATTTTCGAGAATATATTCCTTCTATACAAATATTCAGAAATCCCTAAAATAATAAAAGATAATACATTGCTTTCACTGTTCATTTCAATTCTCATTATTACTGTTCATATGGCGTCATTGGTGAGGTCATGGCTATGTCATATATTTTTGAAATACCAATTCTACCTCTTTTTATTATTTGATTGATGTGTATAACTGGTACCATTTGGCATTTGACCATGTTTATATCTCTTTCATTTCGTATTATCTCCATATGTAGAAAGCATAAGCCGTGGGGGAAGAAAATCAGTAATTTCATTCCTGGTTCCATCGCACATTTGATTTCTTGGTTGTATTTTTCTCTTTATTTGCCTGAGATCTCCTTCTATACAAAGCGAGAACAACATGGAAAAAACAAGTAATTACTTTGGTTTTGTTTTGTTTTGTTTTTTTTTTTTTTTTTTTTTTCCCTTTTTTTTTTTTGTTTTTTTTTTTTTTTTTTTTTT